CTCTGTACCTGAAACATTTGTGGAAAGACTGAAAAAGAGCTCAGAAGCAATGGACACAGTGAGGGAGGTTGTGATGCAAGCAGCTACCTCACAGGAAGCAGCAAGGTGCACCACTCAGCTGCTGGAGAGAAAAAGATCAGTGGTAGTTGAAGGCATCAAAGAACAGGAAGGATCCAACAGGCAAGAACGGAATAGCAAGGATAGAGGTAGTACAGGGGCTACTGAAGGGGTTACAGATGGAAGGGGCTGAACAAAACATTAAGAAGGTTTTCAGGTTTGGCTGGTACAACAAGGACAGAAAACGACTTGTAAAGGTGGTGTTTACAAACGAAATCACGAAGGAGGATATTCTCGAAAGGAAGAGTTGTCTGCAGCATGTGGAGGGATACAAAAAAGTATTCCTGCAGAGGGACAGGACGAAGGAGGAGAGAGCCAGGGCAGCAGAGGCAAGGAGAAAGTGCAGGGAGAGAGGAGCAAACCAAAAAATCACAGCCCCCAACACAACAGTCCCAGAGACAAGAGGGGAACCCAAAACCAGCATCCCAGCAACAACAGAGGGGAGGGCAACACCACCACCTCCCCCTCCCTCTGCATAGAAACCCTCCCTTCCCCTCACCCTACCTGCCCCCACCCAACCCTCCCTCCCCCCCACCCCATTCTGACCCTGTCACCCCTTCCCCATTCCCATCATGTCCCCACTCCCACCTTTCCCCCCCCTGTCCCCCCCTCCCCCTTCATCCCATACCCTCCCTATTCCTCCTCCTACCTCACCCCATATCCTCCATGTCCCCTCCTATCTCCTTAACCCACACCCTACCTGTACCCCCTTCCCTTAACCCCCCCCCCACCCCAAAATCCTCTGAGACCCTGCAAACTACCTCACAGATCCTCTCACCCACGGAACAGCTTCCCACACCAGCATAATGCTCACCAAGAAAGGGACAAGAAAATGAACAGAAGAAAGTGAGCTTCAATGCAATGTACACTAACATAGATGGGATTACAAATAAAACAAGTGAACTCAGAGAATGTTCACTTGAAGAAAACCTAGACATAATAGCACTCACAGAAACAAAGCTAACAAAAACCATAACAAATGCAGTGTTTCCACATGGCTACTATGTAGTGAGGAAAGCAAGAGAGAAGGGAGAGGAGGAGGTGGTGTAGCTTTGCTACTAAGAGAAGGTTGGAGTTTAGAAGAGATGGTAATTCAGAACTGTGAAGGTTTCAGTGACTACATATCAGGCACCATAGCAACTGGGGGAGAGAAAATTATAGTAGTAGTCATATATAACCCCCAACGATTGACAGAAGACCTAGACAGGAATATGATAGAAACAACTTGGCCACCATCAATATAATAGAGAGAGCAGCTTCTGTGGCTAGCAGGAACGGATCCAGACTACTAATTATGGGAGACTTCAACCAAGGGAAGATAGATTGGAGGAACAGAGACCCACATGGAGGTCCAGACACATGGAGAGCTAAGCTGCTGGATGTGGCAACAAGAAACTTTCAAAGTCAACATGTCAAGGGACCAACAAGAATGAGAAGAGGGGATGAACCAGCCTTACTTGATCTGATATTTACCCTAAATGAGTCGGATATAAGGGAAGTTAAGTTGGAAGCCCCCTTGGGAATGAGTGATCATAGTGTATTGAGCTTTGAGTACCTGGTTGAGCTGGGAATTATCACCCCCAAAAAAGAACTGGGAAACAAAGGGCTGGCGTACTGAAAGGGAAACTATGAGGAGATGAATAAATTCCTATGGGATATACATTGGGACACAGAACTCGGAACCAAGTCCGTACAAAACATGATGGACTATGTCACCCAAAATGTCAGGAGGCTGTAAGCAGGTTTGTCCCAGCCGACAGGAAAAAACAGAGAAGCAAAGGAAGAATCCGTGGTTTAATAGGGAATGTATGAAAGCAAAGGAGCTGAACAAAAGGGCATACCTTACCTTGAGGTTTCCTTGAGGTGCTTCCGGGGCTTAGCGTCCCCGCGGCCCGGTCATCGACCAGGCCTCCTGGTTGCCGGACTGATCAACCAGGCTGTTGGACGCGGCTGCTCGCAGCCTGATGTACGAGTCACAGCCTGGTTGATCAGGTATCCTTTGGAGGTGCTTATCCAGTTCTCTCTTGAACACTGTGAGGGGTCGGCCAGTTATGCCCCTTATGTGTAGTGGAAGCGTGTTGAACAGTCTCGGACCTCTGATGTTGATAGAGTTCTCTCTCAGAGTACCAGTTGCACCTCTGTTTTTCAACGGGGGTATTCTGCACATCCTGCCATGTCTTCTGGTCTCATGTGATGTTATTTCTGTGTGCAGGTTTGGGACCAGTCCCTCTAATATTTTCCACGTGTAAATTATTATGTACCTCTCCCACCTGCGCTCAAGGGAGTACAGTTTTAGGCTCTTTAGTCGGTCCCAGTAGTTTAGATGTTTTACTGAGTGGATTCTAGCAGTAAAGGATCTCTGTACGCTCTCCAGTTCAGTAATTTCTCCAGCTTTGAAAGGTGCTGTCATTGTGCAGCAGTACTCCACTCGAGAGCACAAGCGTTTTGAAAAGTATCATCATCGGTATAGCATCTCTAGTGTGAAAAGTTCTTGTTATCCAATCTGTCATTTTTCTTGCAGTTGTGATGGCTACTATATTGTGTTCTTTAAAGGTAAGGTCTTCCGACATGAGTACACCCAGATCCTTTACATTGCCTTTTCGTTCTATGTTATGATTTGCCTGAGTTTTGTACGTGGTTTCCGTTTTTATATTTTCATTTTTTCCATAGCGCATGAGCTGGAACTTATCTTCGTTAAACACCATGCATGAAGGAACTTCCGTAATAACAGAACACCAGAAAGTAGAGAGAGATACCAGAGAACTAGGAACGAGTATGTTAGTGTGAGAAGAGCAGCTGAGAAAAGGTATGAAAATGATATAGCTAATAAAGCCAAGACCGAACCCAAGCTACTACACAGTCACATCAGGAGGAAGACAATGACACTGCTCTATCCTCCCACTGTGTTCTATCCTCTTACTCTGCTTTATCATCCCACTGTGTTCTATCCTCCCACTCTGCTTTATTCTACCACTCTGCTCTATCCTCTCACTCTGCTCTATCCTCCCACTCTGCTTCGCATGTTTTTGTAGCTAATTGTATATGTATGTCGTAGCTAAGTGTAGTGCAGCTAACTCAGTGTATATAGTGACTACCCGGTTGTTTAGTCTTACACTTGTTGCCTATCGCTCCATCATTACCCTGCAAAAAACTGAACTACAACAAATTCTTTATTCAGACAACACACATCCATCCCTTCTGTTGACATCTGTAAACATACTAAACAAATCCTCACTCCGCACACTCTCGTGTGTTGTTTACACTTACAAGGCCTAATTCTTCAATACCAACCCTAACTGGAAACTTTTTCCAAAAGGATGTATTAAACGTATGAATATCACACCAGAGATAAGTATGTATTTGATATTCCCGGAGTCAGATTAAACTTATATAATCAAGTCATACAAATAAAGAAACCCAATTTATGAAGTTCGGTCTCTGAGAATTTAAAAATTTGCTCAGCCTATTCTTTATTCCAAAGTAAAAGTATTAAAGTTACTCACCATTGGATCCCACTTTTTAATACTAACTCAGCTTGTATATTACTATCTATAAATATAGCTCGATGTATATTCTTATCTCAGCCAAATATTGTTGTATTCAGTAATTATTTCAAATACCAAAGTACTCCAGTTTCTCGAATTACAGTTACATAAAGCACATTGCATCTACATAAACTCTCCCTGCACTTCCATGAAGAAACTTACACGTCATAACGTTACTTGCACGTACACAATTATTTGTAGCAACACTTCACCTTAACAAATGATGGTGCTGTGTGCATAGTGCAGTACATGTTCTGGTGGTTATATAGATGGAAAAAATCGCGATCAATCCACTAAGTTCTTGTGTCTCTCCGGTAAAGGCTTATCAATATTTTCTTCACACAGTGAATGGTTCACAAATCTCTGGCTCCCGGTGCGTCTCGTCTCACACCAGTGGAAGCCGTAACACTTAGAGTCCAACAGTCCAAGACAGTTCTATACTTGTATCATTGTGATTCCTTTTCATGATAATAGTGTTCACCCAGTCCCTCGGTGCTTCATTTTGCCGAGATAGAAATTATTTGGTTTCACTAACTGCACTTGGAGCGTGAAGATCTGTAAGATGACAATAAAGGAGTATTCCTAGCCTTTAAGGGTGGCAACAACAGGCGAAACTCAAAATGTTAAAGTTATAGCAACAAATGGCTCTAGATTCAGATAGATTGCAAACCGAATGTCATCAGTATCTTGAGGGCTGCCACAACGGATCTCAACAGCTTGTAAAGTGTAGCAACAAGGGTGTCCTTACCTCATGAAGGGGTTTAAAAAGTTTATGTAACACATCTTGCCAAGGAGTAGCACTGATGAACACATAACAGCGGCGAGTAATCATTAGTGAGGCCAAACTTTGCCTCAAAATATATTAAGCAGTGCCAAGGGAAGTTCGTACGTAAATTTCCAGATGTTTATGTTCCAGGGTAAAGTATAATCCCACGGTCGGTATAACGATTTTCTGACACAGGCAGTGTGGCTGACGGAAACAAATTGAGAAGTGAATGTCTTTCAATAATAAAGGAACTAATTTTGTCCTGCATCAGCTAATGTTATCATTGACCCCCCCCCCCCCCAAAAAAAAAAAAAAAAAAAAAAAAAAAAACACATATTCTCTATATCCTTATATATGTGTACGATATCTAGCTCTGCTGATATATCAAATTTACGATCATCAAGAGAAGTGATTCATCATCATGGCTCAATTTTTGTATTGCCATAATGTTTATAGATCAGTTTATTAATGATACACCGGGATATTTCCACGTAAGTTTTATTCTTAGACGAAGATAAGTTGCCTGTAAGTGGTGCTTTAAACTGGCTGAATTGTCGGATATTGGTTACAAGAAGAACCTCATGGAGATGAACCTCATGGAGAAGAACCTCATGGAGATGAACCTCATGGAGAAGAACCTCATGGAGAAGAACCTCATGGAGAAGAACCTCATGAAGAACAACCACATGAAGAAGAACCTCATGAAGAACAACCACATGAAGAAGAACCTCATGAAGAACAACCACATGAAGAAGAACCTCATGAAGAACAACCACATGAAGAAGAACCTCATGAAGAACAACCACATGAAGAAGAACCTCATGAAGAACAACCACATGAAGAAGAACCTCATGAAGAACAACCACATGAAGAAGAACCTCATGAAGAACAACCACATGAAGAAGAACCTCATGAAGAAGAACCTCATGAAGAAGAACCTCATGAAGAAGAACCACATGGAGAAGAACCTCATGAAGAACAACCTCATGAAGAACAACCACATGAAGAAGAACCTCATGAAGAACAACCACATGAAGAAGAACCTCATGAAGAAGAACCACATGAAGAAGAACCTCATGAAGAAGAACCTCATGAAGAAGAACCTCATGAAGAACAACCACATGAAGAAGAACCTCATGAAGAAGAACCTCATGAAGAAGAACCTCATGAAGAAGAACCACATGAAGAAGAACCTCATGAAGAAGAACCTCATGAAGAAGAACCTCATGAAGAAGAACCACATGAAGAAGAACCTCATGAAGAAGAACCACATGAAGAAGAACCTCATGAAGAAGAACCTCATGAAGAAGAACCTCATGAAGAAGAACCTCATGAAGAACAACCACATGAAGAAGAACCTCATGAAGAAGAACCACATGAAGAAGAACCTCATGAAGAAGAACCACATGAAGAAGAACCTCATGAAGAAGAACCTCATGAAGAAGAACCTCATGAAGAAGAACCTCATGAAGAACAACCACATGAAGAAGAACCTCATGAAGAACAACCACATGAAGAACAACCACATGAAGAACAACCTCATGAAGAAGAACCTCATGAAGAAGAACCACATGAGAAGAACCTCATGAAGAACAACCACATGAAGAACAACCACATGAAGAAGAACCTCATGAAGAAGAACCACATGAAGAAGAACCTCATGAAGAACAACCACATGAAGAAGAACCTCATGAAGAAGAACCACATGAAGAAGAACCTCATGAAGAAGAACCTCATGAAGAAGAACCTCATGAAGAACAACCACATGAAGAAGAACCTCATGAAGAAGAACCTCATGAAGAAGAACCTCATGAAGAAGAACCACATGAAGAAGAACCTCATGAAGAAGAACCTCATGAAGAAGAACCTCATGAAGAAGAACCACATGAAGAAGAACCTCATGAAGAACAACCACATGAAGAAGAACCTCATGAAGAAGAACCACATGAAGAAGAACCTCATGAAGAAGAACCTCATGAAGAAGAACCTCATGAAGAACAACCTCATGAAGAAGAACCTCATGAAGAAGAACCTCATGAAGAAGAACCTCATGAAGAAGAACCACAAGAAGAACCTCATGAAGAAGAACCTCATGAAGAAGAACCTCATGAAGAAGAACCTCATGAAGAAGAACCTCATAGAAGGAGAAGAACCTCATGAAGAAGAACCTCATGAAGAAGAACCTCATGAAGAAGAACCTCATGGAGAAGAACCTCATGGAGATGAACCTCATGGAGAAGAACCTCATGGAGAAGAACCTCATGGAGAAGAACCTCATGGAGAAGAACCTCATGGAGAAGAACCTCATGGAGAAGAACCTCATGGAGAAGAACCTCATGGAGATGAACCTCATGGAGAAGAACCTCATGGAGAAGAACCTCATGGAGAAGAACCTCATGGAGAAGAACCTCATGGAGAAGAACCTCATGGAGAAGAACCTCATGGAGAAGAACCTCATGGAGAAGAACCTCATGGAGATGAACCTCATGGAGATGAACCTCATGGAGATGAACCTCATGGAGATGAACCTCATGAACAAGAGCCTCATGAACAAGAGCCTCATGAAGAACCTCATGAAGAAGAACTTCAGGAAGAAGAACCTCATGAAGAAGAACTTCAGGAAGAAGAACCTCATGAAGAAGAACCTCATGATGAAGAACCTCATGAAGAACTTCAGGAAACCTCATGAAGAACCTCATGAAGAAGAACTTCAGGAAGAAGAACCTCATGAAGAAGAACTTCAGGAAGAAGAACCTCATGAAGAAGAAACTCATGAACATGAATCTCATGAACAAGAACCTCATGAACAAGAACTTCAGGAAGAACAATCGCATGAACAAGAACCTCATGAACAAGAACCAATTATCATAAATATAACTGGTGCGCCCTCTAACAACGAGGTATTCTTAGTCATTAATTTCTCATCGTATTTATGAGCAATTAACGTTATGAAAACCTTTCTGGACAGTTTATTTGCATGCTCAACTTGCAAGGGGGACAAGCGTTCAATCATTGAGTAATTCAACACAATTCTCAGGGGAACACCTGATTACCCAGATTGTTTTTGACTGTATTCAGATAAAAAGTGATTACTACTAAATTGTTCTCCACTCTAATTATCCTTAATGTTAAACACTAATCATGGTCAATGAACCTTTTAACATTCAAATTCAAATCAGTTTATTGAGGTATGAATACACAGAAGGGAATGAGGTAGCATCACACACGTCTTGTGTGTGATGCTGACGTCTTGTGTGATGCTGACGTCTTGTGTGTGATGCTGACGTCTTGTGTGTGATGCTGACGTCTTGTGTGTGATGCTGACGTCTTGTGTGTGATGCTGACGTCTTGTGTGTGATGCTGACGTCTTGTATGTGATGCTGACGTCTTGTGTGTGATGCTGACGTCTTGTGTGTGATGCTGACGTCTTGTGTGTGATGCTGACGTCTTGTATGTGATGCTGATGTCTTGTGTGTGATGCTGACGTCTTGTGTGTGATGCTGACGTCTTTGTGTGATGCTGACGTCTTGTGTGTGATGCTGACGTCTTGTGTGTGATGCTGACGTCTTGTGTGTGATGCTGACGTCTTGTGATGCTGACGTCTTGTGTGATGTGACCTCTGTGTGATGCTGACGTCTTGTGTGTGATGCTGACGTCTTGTGTGTGATGCTGACGTCTTGTGTGTGATGCTGACGTCTTGTATGTGATGCTGACGTCTTGTGTGATGCTGACGTCTTGTGTGTGATGCTGACGTCTTGTGTGTGATGCTGACGTCTTGTATGTGATGCTGACGTCTTGTGTGTGATGCTGACGTCTTGTGTGTGATGCTGACGTCTTGTGTGTGATGCTGACGTCTTGTGATGCTGACCTCTTGTGTGATGCTGTGTGATGCTGACGTCTTGTGTGATGCTGACGTCTTGTGTGTGATGCTGACCTCTTGTATGTGATGCTGATGTCTTGTGTGATGATGCTGACGTCTTGTGTGTGATGCTGACGTCTTGTGTGTGATGCTGACGTCTTGTGTGATGCTTGTGTGTGATGCTGACGTCTTGTGTGTGATGCTGACGTCTTGTGTGTGATGCTGACGTCTTGTGTGTGATGCTGACGTCTTGTGTGATGCTGACGTCTTGTGTGTGATGCTGACTGATCTCTTGTGTGATGCTGACGTCTTGTGTGATGCTGACGTCTTGTATGTGATGCTGACGTCTTGTGTGATGCTGATGTCTTGTGTGATGCTGACCTCTTGTGTGATGCTGACGCTGACGTCTTGTGTGTGATGCTGACGTCTTGTGTGTGATGCTGACGTCTTGTGTGTGATGCTGACGTCTTGTGTGTGATGCTGACGTCTTGTGTGATGCTGACGTCTTGTGTGTGATGCTGACGTCTTGTGTGATGCTGACGTCTTGTGTGTGATGCTGACGTCTTGTGTGTGATGCTGACGTCTTGTGTGTGATGCTGACGTCTTGTGTGATGCTGACGTCTTGTGTGTGATGCTGTGTGATCTCTGTGTGTGATGCTGACGTCTTGTGTGATGCTGACGTCTTGTGTGTGATGCTGACGTCTTGTGTGTGATGCTGACGTCTTGTGTGTGATGCTGACGTCTTGTGTGATGCTGACCTCTTGTGTGATGCTGACGTCTTGTGTGATGCTGACGTCTTGTGTGATGCTGACGTCTTGTGTGTGATGCTGACGTCTTGTGTGATGCTGACCTCTTGTGTGTGATGCTGACGTCTTGTGTGTGATGCTGACGTCTTGTGTGTGATGCTGACGTCTTGTGTGTGATGCTGTGATGCTGACGTCTTGTGTGATGCTGACGTCTTGTGTGATGCTGACGTCTTGTGTGATGCTGACGTCTTGTGTGTGATGCTGACGTCTGTGATGTGATGCTGACGTCTTGTGTGATGCTGACGTGATGCTGCTGACCTCTTGTGTGATGCTGATGTGTGATGCTGACTGACCTCTTCTTGCTGACCTCTTGCTGATGTCTGACCTCTTGTGTGATGCTGACCTCTTGTGTGATGCTGACCTCTTGTGTGATGCTGACCTCTTGTGTGATGCTGACCTCTTGTGTGATGTCTTGTGTGTGATGCTGACCTCTTGTGTGTGATGCTTGTGTGACCTCTTGTGTGATGCTGACCTCTTGTGTGATGCTGACCTCTTGTGTGATGCTGACCTCTTGTGTGATGCTGACCTCTTGTGTGATGCTGACCTCTTGTGTGATGCTGACTTGTGTGATGCTCTCTTGTGTGATGCTGACCTCTTGTGTGTGATGCTGACTTGTGTGATCTTGTGTGATGCTGACCTCTTGTGTGATGCTGACGTCTTGTGTGATGCTGACGTCTTGTGTGTGATGCTGACCTCTTGTGTGATGCTGACCTCTTGTGTGTGATGACCTCTTGTGTGATGACCTCTTGTGTGATGCTGACCTCTTGTGTGATGCTGACCTCTTGTGTGATGCTGACCTCTTGTGTGATGCTGACCTCTTGTGTGATGCTGACGTCTTGTGTGATGCTGACCTCTTGTGTGATGCTGACCTCTTGTGTGATGACCTCTTGTGTGATGCTGACCTCTTGTGTGATGCTGACCTCTTGTGTGATGCTGACCTCTTGTGTGATGCTGACCTCTTGTGTGATGCTGACCTCTTGTGTGATGCTGACCTCTTGTGTGATGCTGACCTCTTGTGTGATGCTGACCTCTTGTGTGATGCTGACCTCTTGTGTGATGCTGACCTCTTGTGTGATGCTGACCTCTTGTGTGATGCGGACCTCTTGTGTGATGCTGACCTCTTGTGTGATGCTGACCTCTTGTGTGATGCTGACCTCTTGTGTGATGCTGACCTCTTGTGTGATGCTGACCTCTTGTGTGATGCTGACCTCTTGTGTGATGCTGACCTCTTGTGTGATGCTGACCTCTTGTGTGATGCTTGTCGGAAAATCCGACACCATTTAATATTATTACATTCAACAGGCAGATAATATTGCTGCCGTTGTATACACAACTTAACCATAGTAAATGTAGCTTGTAGTGGAATTTTCCGCAAATAGAAAATGGGATATCATTGCCACATAGTACTATGAATTCACCAGCTATTCTGTTGGGAATTATTCTTAAATACATTAGTCTTTTGACTTTTAATATCATAAAAACATTTCATTTGAGTTAACTTAATTATCAGTATCAAAATAAAGTAAATGTGACCCTTCTATCACTTATTGACATTGGACAAGGAGAGCCAAGGCGTCAGTGGTGAGAGAGGTCACCCATTTGTTTGTTAGACCAGAGTCGTTGGAGCAAGTTTCGCTCCTATAATTCTCTTGGACGAAGTGTTATGGAGATCAAAGTGTTCGACCATCATCAACATGCTGTCATCAGCCACAAGGGAAGTGTCTTTCCGAAATCTTATCTAAGTCATTATTGGCCAGTAATGTTAGGTAGATAATATTAATTCCGGTTAGAATACGAACGATCGACTCAACATAGGTAATTAAGCCTTGGTCCTTATCATATATAATATACAGTGTTTTCTCTGATATAGCTGTCATATATTAGGATTCCAGCTTACACCTAGTGCTCTTTGACAGGAACAAGAAGAGGAAGCAAGAATATATCTTGGTACATCAGTTACTATGGGTGATGGAAGCTAGCCTCACAAGAAGATAATTTGGTGTCTACATCCTAGTTATATCTGGTGGACTAAGCCTACTCTACAGTAAGATAAGGCACCTCCTAAATTTATTTACTAATATATGTAGTTTAATAATGTAGATTGATTGGCTGCATATATATATATATAAATTTAATATAACCCCCCCCCCCCCTAATGTGTAAAAATCGATTTGTGAGATTATTGCAGAAATACAGTCCACTTAACATCATACTAATTGCTATTGAAAAATATAAATTAACAAAAATATAAATTCATATAAATTAAATAAATATAAATATCACAGGTCGGTTTCTACAATGCTGAACTCTTGTGAGATGCTGACGTCTTTTGTGGTGCTGACGTCTTGTGTGACGCTGACGTCTTTTGTGATGCTGACGTCTTGTGTGATGCTGACCTCTTGTGTGATTCTGACGTCTTGTGTTATGCTGTCCTCTTGTGAAATGCTGACGTTTTGTGTGATGCTGACGTCTTGTGTGTGATGCTGACGTCTTGTGTTATGCTGACCTCTTGTGAAATGCTGACGTTTTGTGTGATGCTGACGTCTTGTGTGTGATGCTGACGTCTTGTGTGTGATGCTGACGTCTTGTGTGATGCTGACATCTTGTGTGTGATGCTGACATCTTGTGTGCGAGGCTGACGTCTTGTGAGTGATGCTGACGTCTTGTGTGTGATGCTGATATCTTGTGTGGGATGCTGACGTATTGCATATGATGCTGACGTCTTGTGTGTGATACTGACGTCTTGTGTGCGAGGTTGACGTCTTGTGTGTGATGCTGACATCTTGTGTGTGATGCTGACATCTTGTGTGGGATGCTGACGTATTGCATATGATGCTGACGTCTTGTGTGTGATGCTGACGTCTTGTGTGATGCTGACGTCTTGTGTGATGCTGACATCTTGTGTGATGCTGACGTCTTGTGTGATGCTGACATCTTGTGTGATGCTGACGTCTTGTGTGATGCTGACGTATTGCGTGTCATGCTGACGTCTTTTGTGCGATGCTGACGTCTTGTGTGTGTGATGCTGACGTCTTGTGTGTGATGCTGACCTCTTGTGTGTGATGCTGACGTCTTGTGTGTGATGCTGACGTCTTTTGTGTGATGCTGACGTCTTGTGTGTGATGCTGACGTCTTGTGTGTGATGCTGACGTCATGTCTGATGCTGACGTCTTGTGTGTGATGCTAACGTCTTGTGTGATGCTGACGTCTTGTGTGATGCTGACGTCTTTTGTGTGATGCTGACATCTTATGTGATGCTGACGTCTTGTGTGTAATGCTGACGTCTTGTGTGTGATGCTGACGTCTTGTGTGATGCTGACGTATTGCATGTGATGCTGACGTCTTGTGTGTGATGCTGACGTATTGCATGTGATGCTGACGTCTTGTGTGTGATGCTGACGTCTTGTGTGTGATGCTGACGTATTGCATGTGATGCTGACGTCTTGTGTGTGATGCTGACGTATTGCATGTGATGCTGACGTCTTGTGTGTGATGCTGACGTCTTGTGTGTGATGCTGACGTCTTGTGTGTGATGCTGACGTTTTGTTTTTGGTGCTGACGTTTTGTGTGTGATGCTGACGTCTTGTGTGTGATGCTGACGTCTTGTGTGTAATGCTGACGTCCTGTGTGTGATGCTGACGTCTTGTGTTTGATTCTGACATCTTTTGTGTGATGCTGACGTCTTGTGTGTGATGCTGACGTCTTGTGTGTGATGCTGACGTCTTGTTTGTGATGCTGACGTCATGTGTAATGCTGACGTCTTGTGTGTGATGCTGACGTGTTGAGTGATGCTGACGTCTTGAGTGATGCTGACGTCTTAAGTGTGATGCTGACGTCTTGTGAGTGCTACTGACGTCTTGTGAGTGCTGCTGACGTCTTGTGAGTGCTGCTGACGTCTTGTGAGTGCTGCTGACGTCTAGAGTGCTGCTGACGTCTTGTGAGTGCTGCTGACGTCTTGTGAGTGCTGCTGACGTCTTGTGAGTGCTGCTGACGTCTTGTGAGTGCTGCTGACGTCTTGAGTGATGCTGACGTCTTGTGAGTGCTGCTGACGTCTTGTGAGTGCTGCTGACGTTTTGTGAGTGCTGCTGACGTCTTGTGAGTGCTGCTGACGTCTTGTGAGTGCTGCTGACGTCTTGTGAGTGCTGCTGACGTCTTGTGAGTGCTGCTGACGTCTTGTGAGTGCTGCCGACGTCTTGTGAGTGCTGCTGACGTCTTGTGAGTGCTGCCGACGTCTTGTGAGTGCTGCTGACGTCTTGTGAGTGCTGCCGACGTCTTGTGAGTGCTGCTGACGTCTTGTGAGTGCTGCCGACGTCTTGTGAGTGCTGCTGACGTCTTGTGAGTGCTGCTGACGTCTTGTGAGTGCTGCTGACGTCTTGTGAGTGCTGCTGACATCTTGTGAGTGCTGCTGACGTCTTGCGAGTGCTGCTGACGTCTTGTGAGTGCTGCCGACGTCTTGTGAGTGCTGCTGACGTCTTGTGAGTGCTGCTGACGTCTTGTGAGTGCTGCTGACGTCTTGTGAGTGCTGCCGACGTCTTGTGAGTGCTGCTGACGTCTTGTGAGTGCTGCTGACGTCTTGTGAGTGCTGCTGACGTCTTGTGAGTGCTGCTGACATCTTGTGAGTGCTGCTGACGTCTTGCGAGTGCTGCTGACGTCTTGTGAGTGCTGCCGACGTCTTGTGAGTGCTGCTGACGTCTTGTGAGTGCTGCTGACATCTTGTGAGTGCTGCTGACGTCTTGCGAGTGCTGCTGACGTCTTGTGAGTGCTGCCGACGTCTTGTGAGTGCTGCTGACGTCTTGTGAGTGCTGCCGACGTCTTGTGAGTGCTGCTGACGTCTTGTGAGTGCTGCCGACGTCTTGTGAGTGCTGCTGACGTCTTGTGAGTGCTGCTGACGTCTTGTGAGTGCTGCCGACGTCTTGTGAGTGCTGCTGACGTCTTGTGAGTGCTGCTGACGTCTTGTGAGTGCTGCTGACGTCTTGCGAGTGCTGCTGACGTCTTGGGTGTATGTTTGTTGTGTGGTTGCTGCTGGTGTTGATATGTTGTATTAGTGTTCCAGGAGTTCAGAGCACCAGCCGTGTTAATGATCTTGTTGGATTCCTCGTCTCTCCTTCCTCCTGTTATCATATAAATATAAAGATATGTATACAGTCCCCCCCCCCCCCCTTGGATATCTGGATGCAGGATATTTAACAAACTCATTATAAGAATTTTGGACGTTAGAGCGGAGACATGTAATTAGCAAGTGCTAATGAGAGGATATTTTGGCCGGTGTAGCCAGTGGCTCAGAGGCCAGGAAGGACCTCTCGCCTGGAGCACCATCCTTCTCACTAATATATGTGTCCAACATCAGAAACTTATAATGACATACAAGCAAAATAATCAATTCGAGGAATATGAATGAGCAAATCCACAAGGGCCGTGATGAGGATACGAACCTACGTCCGAGAGCATCCAGACGCTGCCTTAATCGACTGAGCTGCGACATGGTAAAAGAATTGCAACCAGAAATTACAAGGCAGAAATTTATTTGTGGATTTGTTGATTTGATGCATCACGCAATTGTGATTTCTGTGTGTAATATGAATCATGTTCAGTCTACACGTAACTGAAGGCTAGAGGTGTGCAACACGCCTCCCACAGCCACAATGGAGGCTGTGGGAGGCCCTGGCACATACTGTGCTAGTGCCTAATGTGCAGTAATACTGTGCCTAATGTGCAGTAATACTGGCACATAAGGCTGTCAACTGGAGTTCCTCCGCAGAGGAATGCTACGACCACTTTTTTTTTTGTCAATAACATTAAATGACAACAATAAATTTAATTAAAATGCTATTGTAACTTTCATTTAGATGACTTTACAACTATGACCATTTCTGCTGCAAGTTTTCAAGAACTATTTAATCTTAAAGGATGGCAATGTTACATGCTAAGAGTGGTTCAGATAACGAACTGTAAACCTAATGGAAGCATCCTGCATAACCCTCAAACATCCTGTATATCTAAACATTATAATAATCTTAAATCCTTTAACATTAACAACATGTTCGTCAATCACAGATTATACATTGGTCACCACATAAAGTATTTACTAACATTAAAGGATAAATTTCACTTTGTCAAAATCCTTTTAAGTGTACTAATGCAATCCTGCTACTTTATATTTTGTTAAGGAAGATTCTTGAAAATGTAAACATTCTGGGCAGAAACCCCTCGTGCCCTAACATGTCTCAAACCTCTCAAGCTTTACTTAGACAAGCTCCAAGACTGTAGTGATAACCAGCCATACTTGCCCACTCAACAACAGCAATACCTCCAGCACAATGTTCTTGTGCAGCGTGAAGTTGCAGATATTGAAACACAAGAGCATGTCTTAGACACCGACGGTTAGTCTGTTCAAGATAGAAGGCCAGATGCTTGGCCTTTGGAATTTTGCATGGTGATTGGTGCCCATAAGGGGAGTGTCGAAGGAGGGTACGGGTCGGCTCACATTAAGAAGGATCGGCTCCTATTCTTAGTATCTTAGTAACTTCTTTGAAGTCTGAAGTCTTTGAAGTCACAACAATTGTAAAAATAAATTTGCGGTTGCACTGTATGTTTGCAGGGGTGCATGATGGAACGGGAGGAAGAGAGAGGGAGGGGAGAGGAAGAGGGAGGGGAGGAAAGGAGATGGTAGATGGTTTGGAGAGAGAGAGGAGTGGAAAGGTATGAAAAGATGAGGAAGAATGAAGGTAGAAATGGAATGTAGGATAAAAGGGTTGGATTGGGGAGGGGGGGGGGGAAGGTTGAATGAGGGGAGGTAGGAGTGGAGACAATTTATGTAATGGGGGGAATAAGATGGTGGGAGAAGGAGGCAGGGACGAAGAGGAGAGGGGAGAGGGGAGATGGGGTAGCAGGCACAGAGGTTGTTAAAGTGGGGGGGGGGGGGGAGTCAATCTGTGCTGCACAGAAGGGGCAGCAGAGGAGGGGCGAGGAAAGACCAGGAAGATAGGTATAAGGGAAGAGAGGGGTAGGGAGGGAAGAGGGGCAAGATAGGGAGAGATAATCAAAGCCAAGCAATGCTAAGGAACCTTCCCATCATATAGAGGACACAATGAATGGTTGTCTGTCTGTCAGTATGTTTATCTCTCTCCCTGGCCATGGTTGAAGGCCATTTGCTAGAGGGAAGCCTCACGTCATTTTAAAGGGTGAATGGTCTGGAGGAAGGTACGGACATAGGCCAATTAAATACATAAATTTTACAAAGGACATATATTAAATGATTTTCACGGGTTTACTGTGAACTTCCACGGGTTTACTGTGAACTTCCACGGGTTTACTGTGAACTTCCACGGGTTTACTGTGAACTTCCACGGGTTTACTGTAAACTTTCACAGGTTTACTGTGAACTTCCACGGGTTTACTGTGAACTTCCCACGGGTTTACTGTAAACTTTCACATGTTTACTGTGAACTTCCACGGGTTTACTGTGAACTTCCACGGGTTTACTGTAAACTTTCACAGGTTTACTGTGAACTTCCACGGGTTTACTGTGAACTTCCACGGGTTTACTGTGAACTTCCACGAGTTATTGGTGTGGGAAGATAATTACAGTGATGAACATATTGAGTAATGAATGCTTATGGTGATGAAGATGTTATCCTCGTTGATTTTAGCTGTAATGAAGATGTAAGATGAAGGAAAATGGCAGGACAGGGGAAGATGAGGAAAGAGGGGGAAGATGAGGGGGGAGAGATAGATGGGTAGGTCTTCAGAAACCTTGGAGGCAGTCAAATGATAGTCTGTTTTACGCTGTTATGGCCCATGTATGAACCGCAGAAAATTTACGATAACTTTCCCAAGATCAGTGTATATTACTATAAGAGTTTTTAATGAAGCTAAGTACAGCCAGCAGACAGTGTAGAAAATCGTCGTGGGGTCAGAATGTGATCCAGGCACACTGTTCCCCCTTTGAACTCTGGTGATGCCTGTGGGAACCGACCCGTGAGATTTACATTTAATTAATTTATATGAATTTATATAGAATTTATATTTCCGTTAATTTATATATTTCGATAGCAATTGGTATGATGTTAAGTGGACTGTATTTCTGCAATAATTCTCACAAATCGATCCTTACACATTAGGGGGGGTTTATATTAAATTTATATATATGCAGCCAATCAAACTACATATATTAGTATACATTGGAGGTTCCTTATCTTATTGTACAGCAGGCTTAGTCCACCAGGTATAACTAGGATGTAGACACCAAATTATCCTCGTTTGAGGCTAGCTTCCATCACCCGGTAACTGATGTATCAAGTCTTGCTTCCTCTTCTTGTTCCTGTCAAAGGGCGCTAGTTGTGAAGCCAGAATCCTAATATATGACACCTATATCCGAGAAAACACTGTATGATAGATAATATGGACCAAGGCTAAATTACGTTTATTTAAGAGGCTGGTTCGCATTCTAACGGTTCGCCCTTATCTACCTAACATTTAACTGGCCAGAAATGATTAGATAAACGGGTTTCGGTAGGACACTTCCCTTGATTATGTTGACAGCGTGTTGATGATGGTAGAACACTACTCTGATCTCCATCACACTTCGTCCAAGAGTAATTATAGGAGCTGAATTTGCTCCACTGCGCCTCTGGTCTTAACAAACAATGGCTGACCTCTTCCTCCTCACTGACTCCTTGGCACTTTGTCCAGATATCAGTAACTGATAGGAGGGTCACATTTACTTTATTTTGATACTGATAATTAAGTTAATTCAAATGAGATGTTTTTATGATGTAAAAAGTCCAAAGACTAATGTATTTAAGAATAATTCCCATCAGAATAGCTGGTGAATTTATAATAGTATGTGGCAATGATATCCCGTTTTCTATTGAGGGAAAATTCCACAACAAGCTACATTTTCTATGGGTTAACTTGTGTATACAATGGCAGCAATATTATCTACCTGTTGGATTGATATTATTAAATGGTGTCGGGTTTTCCGACAATGCCGACAATCCTATGTTCGTTCCGTACCCAAGACTGTTCACCCACCAAATTTCTGTGAGGTTAGCCCCAAGCATCTAGCCTTCAACTCTGAACAGACAGACAATTTCCCTTATAGGTATAGACTAGGGGGATACTTGGCATGGCTCTAGTCTGTCTGTCTCATCTGCCATGTGTCTATCCATCCACTTACTTATTTGTTTATCTTCCAATCTATCTATCCATCCATATATTCCTCAATACATCCATCCATCCATACTCCATCCAATCATCTATATACCTATATCTCCATTTATCCATCTGTCTATTTGTCCATCTACCTATCCATCTATTTATCCACCTATTTTTCTATCCATCCCTCTATTTAACAATCCATATATTTATCCATCAATCTAATCATCCACATAATCATCTATATACTCTATTTATCCATCTATCTACCTATCCGTGTATCAATCCCTCCATCAATATATTCTGATGTGAACCACATATAGCTGCATGACTCATGTAACACTTACCTGAGCTTTGCTTCTGGTGGAGTCTATGCTCCTGTCAGTGTGGCGTGGACGAGGGCGCACGCAATTCCCCGCCACTAAGAAGAGAGCACAAAATATCCTGGGATGTTATTGGGTCATTCTTCTGTCCCTTGCATGTAGTTTCCTAATACATACCTACCTTCTTCCTCCTCCACTGCTCCTCTGTTCCCTCCTTTCCCCTTTTCCTCTTTCTCTACCTGTTCCTTCCTCTTTTGTGCCCTCATCGTGTTTACTACATCCATCAAGAGCTCGTAGAGCGAGTCCAGAACGCGGACGTCGTTGTCATGTCTCATTCATCACGGCGGCCTTCGTAACAGCCTCGCTGAGTTGTGGCTCGAACCAGACCAGTGTTGTAGACCCCCAATGACTGGTGCAGCCCAGACCAGTGTTGTAGACCCCCAGTGACGGGTGCAGCCCAAACCAGTGTTGTTTACCCCCAGTGACTGGTGCAGCCCAGACCAGTGTTGTAGACCCCCAGTGACGGGTACAGCCCAGACCAGTGTTGTAGACCCCCAGTGACTGGTGCAGCCCCAGACCAGTGTTGTGGTCCCCAGTGACTGGTGCAGCCCCAGACCAGTGTTGTGGTCCCCAGTGTCTGGTGCAGCACCAGACCAGTGTTGTGGTCCCCAGTGTCTGGTACAGCCCCAGACCAGTGTTGTGGTCCCCAGTGTCTGGTGCAGCCCAGACCAGTGTTGTAGACCCCCAGTGACTGGTGCAGCCCCAGACCAGTGTTGTGGTCCCCAGTGTCTGGTACAGCCCAGACCAGTGTTGTAGACCCCCAGTGTCTGGTACAGCCCAGACCAGTGTTGTGGTCCCCAGTGTCTGGTACAGCCCAGACCAGTGTTGTGGTCCCCAGTGTCTGGTACTGCCCAGACCAGTGTTGTGGTCCCCAGTGTCTGGTACTGCCCAGACCAGTGTTGTGGTCCCCATTGTCTGGTACAGCCCAGACCAGTGTTGTGGTCCCCAGTGTCTGGTACAGCCCAGACCAGTGTTGTGGTCCCCAGTGTCTGGTACAGCCCAGACCAGTGTTGTGGTCCCCAGTGTCTGGTACTGCCCAGACCAGTGTTATAGACCCTCAGTGTCTGATACAGCCCCAGACCAGTGTTGTAGACCCCCAGTGTCTGGTACAGCCCAGACCAGTGTTGTAGACCCCCAGTGTCTGGTACAGCCCAGACCAGTGTTGTAGACCCCCAGTGTCTGGTACAGCCCAGACCAGTGTTGTGGTCCCCAGTGTCTGGTGCAGCCCAGACCAGTGTTGTAGACCCCAGTGTCTGGTACAGCCCAGACCAGTGTTGTAGTCCCCAGTGTCTGGTAAAGCCCAGACCAGTGTTGTAGTCCCCCAGTGTCTGGTGCAGCCCAGACCAGTGTTGTGGTCCCCAGTGTTTGGTGCAGCCCAGACCAGTGTTGTAGACCCCAGTGTCTGGTACAGCCCAGACCAGTGTTGTAGTCCCCAGTGTCTGGTACAGCCCAGACCAGTGTTGTAGTCCCCCAGTGTCTGGTACAGCCCAGACCAGTGTTGTAGTCCCCAGTGTCTGGTACAGCCCAGACCAGTGTTGTAGACCCCCAGTGTCTGGTACAGCCCAGACCAGTGTTGTAGACCCCCAGTGTCTGGTACAGCCCAGACCAGTGTTGTGGTCCCCAGTGTCTGGTACAGCCCAGACCAGTGTTGTAGTCCCCAGTGTCTGGTACAGCCCAGACCAGTGTTGTGGTCCCCAGTGTCTGGTACAGCCCAGACCAGTGTTGTGGTCCCCAGTGTCTGGTACAGCCCAGACCAGTGTTGTGGTCCCCAGTGTCTGGTACAGTCCAGACCAGTGTTGTGGTCCCCAGTGTCTGGTACAGCCCAGACCAGTGTTGTGGTCCCCAGTGTCTGGTGCAGCTTAATGTATGGAAATTCGTGATTTATTACTGTAGTGTTTATTGGTCTGGGCGTCAAGTCGATCGATTGTGACGTCTATAATTATGTCAACATTTGGTCCTAAACTTGTAAGTGAACTCCCTAACATGTTTCAGAGGTAAAGTACATTTTTTTGTATAAACATTGATAAGTAGGAACTTACTTAATAGCCTTTTAGGACACGTCAACATCCTAATTTTGAAGTCTATGATAATTTATAATAATATTTTGCTAGTAAAACCAGGTGTTGGCCAAAACCCAGGTTGTTTCTTTAATCCCAACCCACCCGGGTTGGGCCAGATGGAATTTGTATCTTATAATAAAAAAGGAAAATGAACGTTTAAATCTAAATAAAGATAACTAAGTTGGCTCATATTAAAACAAAAACAAAATGTTTTTTTAAATCCTCCCAGATTTTATAAACTAATAAAATAGGCCCAGGCGTGTAAGTAGGAAGCTCCATGCAAACCCTGAGTAGACACACAGAGAGAGAGAGAGAGAGAGAGAGAGAGAGAGAGAGAGAGAGAGAGAGAGAGAGAGAGAGAGAGAGAGAGAGAGAGAGAGAGAGAGAGAGAGAGGAGAGAGAGAGAGAGAGAGAGAGAGAGAGAGAGAGAGAGAGAGAGAGAGAGAGAGAGAGAGGAGAGAGAGAGAGAGAGAGAGAGAGAGAGAGAGAGAGAGAGAGAGAGAGAGAGAGAGAGAGAGAGAGAGAGAGAGAGAGAGAGAGAGAGAGAGAGAGAGAGAGAGAGAGAGAGAGAGAGAGAGAGAGAGAGAGAGAGAGAGAGAGAGAGAGAGAGAGAGAGAGAGAGAGAGAGAGAGAGAGAGAGAGAGAGAGAGAGAGAGAGAGAGAAATTGATACGAGAGAACTAAAAAGATTTTCTCATACGTTTCAATAAACCAACAGGTAACTGGCTGTGTCGACATGATCTTCATGAGCAATGAAGAACTAATTAGGAGAAGCTTTCTGTTCTTAAATACAACTCACTAAGATCGCATCCTCTTTAAGTCAAAATAAATATAAATAGTGTCAAAAACACATGCAACAACAGAATTGCATTTAATAAATTTTCTATTTTAACATTTTAGGCACTGACCTGAAAATAATATAAAGGATTATGTAGCATTTCTTTGCAAACCGTTCTGTTCCCCCAGACTCCTACACAATGTATTGAAATATTCACTGGAGAAGAACAAAATATCTGCATAAAATGTTCTCTGTGGAAAACGGTATATAAATTGTAATTTAGAATAGGAACACAGAGGACTATTCTGAGCACAGGTTTACACAGCTTATAAGCGACCTGAAATATCCCTAAAAAATAAGCCAATCTTCAGAGAATAGTCATAGAGAAAATGCAAAAACAAACGTTCATAGTAGAAGTAACAATAAGTAAATAAAGAAAAGAATGAAAGGAAAGAAATAGGAACATAACCGAAATACTTCTTAACAAATTCTCAGAGCAATTAAAAACCCTCTCCAAGTATATTCCCCCAAAATTACTTCTTCCATTCCCTGTAAGCTTAGTTTAAAGAGATTGGGTTTACCTTATCTTAGTTTTGTTCTAGACTACTAATGTTAATTAATGCAATTAAAACTTTATTAAATAAAGCATTCACTTCACGTTATGATTATTAATAATTTTGATGAAATACATTTCTTGAAAGAGATCTTTAGAGCAAATGTTTTTCGATGAATACCATTTTGCAGAATTTTGATTAAATTTAAATGCAAAAAGCAACATATCGTTAAATTGTTTATTCACTAAAGATATTCATAATGTAAAATGTGTTTCTTTGGGTACTGTTTGCTATCAAACTGGAAAAGAACTTTGTAATATTTTTATTCATCTCTATCTTCACATTAGCTTTCAATTTGCCATTTCCATTAGTCATACTATTGGTAAAGATATATATTAAACAGAGATCTGTTACCCTTCTAACCATTTCAGATCTGGTGCTGTTGACCTTTACAAAAGTTCGAACCGCACCGTGTCTTGGAGCATGTGGGTATCTCTCACCACCGTGTCTTGGAGCATGTGGGTATCTCTCACCACCGTGTCTTGGAGCATGTGGGTATCTCTCACCACCGTGTCTTGGAGCATGTGGGTATCTCTCACCACCGTGTCTGGGAGCATGTGGGTATCTCTCACCACCGTGTCTGGGAGCATGTGGGTATCTCTCACCACCGTGTCTGGGAGCATGTGGGTATCTCTCACCACCGTGTCTGGGAGCATGTGGGTATCTCTCACCACCGTGTCTGGGAGCATGTGGGTATCTCTCACCACCGTGTCTGGGAGCATGTGGGTATCTCTCACCACCGTGTCTGGGAGCATGTGGGTATCTCTCACCACCGTGTCTGGGAGCATGTGGGTATCTCTCACTACCGTGTCTGGGAGCATGTGGGTATCTCTCACTACCGTGTCTGGGAGCATGTGGGTATCTCTCACCACCGTGTCTGGTAGCATGTGGGTATCTCTCACTACCGTGTCTGGGAGCATGTGGGTATCTCTCACCACCGTGTCTGGGAGCATGTGGGTATCTCTCACCACCGTGCCTGGGAGCATGTGGGTATCTCTCACCACAGTGTCTGGGAGCATGTGGGTATCTCTCACCACAGTGTCTGGGAGCATGTGGGTATCTCTCACCACAGTGTCTGGGAGCATGTGGGTATTTCTCACCACCGTGTCTGTGAGCATGTGGGTATCTCTCACCACAGTGTCTGGGAGCATGTGGGTATCTCTCACTACCGTGCCTGGGAGCATGTGGGTATCTCTCACCACCGTGTCTGGGAGCATGTGGGTATCTCTCACCACAGTGTCTGGGAGCATGTGGGTATCTCTCACTACCGTGCCTGGGAGCATGTGGGTATCTCTCACCACCGTGTCTGGGAGCATGTGGGTATCTCTCACCACAGTGTCTGGGAGCATGTGGGTATCTCTCACTACCGTGCCTGGGAGCATGTGGGTATCTCTCACCACCGTGTCTGGGAGCATGTGCGTATCTCTCACTACAAAGTTTTGCCCCTCAGGCATGTTGCCACCTTCCCCATTAGGGATCACTGTGAAGACATGAGCAACATCCTGACAGAAATTTCACTGTTCTGGCCTACAATCCTCATCAACTACATCTCAACATCTGAATCACGAAAATGAGATGAAAGTCCTTAACTCCACTGTTCATCCACTTACGGTATTTGCCATTTTCATGTTATACTTTCAACAGTGTATGTAATTTTCCATTTAAATTCGAATATTTTCATTGTCTTAGTTTTTATTGTCTTAGTCTTTTTAATGGATGGATAGATTGATCAACAGACAGGAGAGAGACAGACAGACCCAGGCAACGCCGGGTACTCTTCTTAGTAAAACAATATAGTTGTTTACCATTGGTGTGTGGGAGGTA